CAGACCCCCTCTCTGCCCCAGGACGCGGAGCAGGACCGCGAGTCGCCCTACGAGATCTCCGTCCAGGAGGAGGTGACGGCCCGGCTGCACTTCGTCAAGTTCGAGAACAGCTACATCGAGGCCTGCCTGGACTTCGTCCGCGACCACCTGGTCAACACGGAGACCAAGGTCATCCACGCCACCGGGGGCGGGGCCTACAAGTTCAAGGACCTCATCGAGCAGAAGCTGGGGCTGCGGTAAGGGGACCGCAGGCCCCGGGGCGTGGGGTGGGTGCCTCCGTTCTCGGGGTGGGGTTCTGAAGTGGCGGTCGCCGAGGTAGCCGCTCCTGTACCCGCCCCGGGTCGTGGGAGCAGGAGGGGGCCTGGGGCAGGGCTCCGGGCCAGGCTGCAGAGGATTCCGGTGGCCGAACCCCAGGAGGACAGAGGGTGCAGAACACGGCCTGTCCTGCTGGGCTGAGGCTCCCGAGGCTGCAGCCCCTGGGAGCAGAGGGGGAGGCGGAGCCATTGGTGGGGGCGGGGCTGCAGGCGCACTCAGGGCTCAGGCACCATCCGGGCTGCTCTGTCGAGGACCCCTGTGTCTTTGGGGTGAGGAGCTGCACCTCGGCAGGAGCGTGCCCAGGAGACACGGCGCGGCTGTGGGTCCCTGTGGCCTGGCTGCTCAGGGCCGCCTTCCCTCGCAGGGTGGCCAAGGAGGACGTGATGACCTGCTTGATAAAGGGGTGCAACTTCGTGCTGAAGAACATCCCCCAGGAGGCCTTCGTGTACCAGAAAGACGCCGACCCCGAGTTCCGATTTCAGACAAACCACCCCCACATTTTCCCGTATCTCCTGGTCAACATCGGGTCCGGCGTCTCCATAGTGAAGGTGAGCTGGGCTCCGTGGCTACGGTGGCGCCGCACGGGTTTGTCCTGCACTCGCCGGTGTCTGAGCCAGGGCAGGGGACACAGACAGGCGAGTGACTCGGGCCGGGGCCTTGCGGTTACGGCCACGAGCCCCGTGCAGAGCGCTTCCAGC